AAGAACCCCTCTATTTCCCTATGCATGCAAACTCTCATGTCTGTGAAAACTTGCAAATAAGTGCACCACCAGGAGAAAATATAAAGGATCCTTTAACTGAAGTGTGGTATGCATTTAGCAGATGTAAGCACTGTTGGTTTTGTTTTAGGGAAAATAGCTATTTCTATAAATAGGAATTAATTAGTTCAATTTTTCACCCAAAAATCATAAACAATGAGGAATAGTTCTAAACTTTAATAAATTAGTCAGTTTATGTTCATATACATTAGCAAATACAAAGGGTATTTATTTTTTCAATTTATATGGCCGCCTATCTCAAATTCATGACTTTGGGTGGCCAACAACAGTTAAAAACACTATAAAACACATAGCAGTAGGAATAATACACATGTAATCGGCAGCCGGGGTAAAAAACAAAACCACAACAAATCAACATAACTGTTGAACATATCCAGATCCGCAGGCTCAGTGACACAACCATGTCTTTAAAGCCTAGCGAAAGCCCAGCAGGGTTGGGCCCGGCGGGGGGATGATATTTCAAAGGGCAGGTACCACAACAGAAATCTTTCTAACTCCTCCCAGGTGGCACTTCCTAATAGATGGGACATGGAGCATGTCTCTCCTGCTGGATCTAATGGAACTGGTAAACAAGAAGGGAAAATAGTTTGGTTAGCATACCCAATCTTTCAAACAAGGACAAGTTATGGTAATTAGTTCTAATTACCATAATCTAAGAATAGGAAAGAAATAAAAGGAAACTGGCAAAAGGGAGGAATATTTTGTCAAGTATAGTATTGATAGTGCACTAGAGAAATATTGGGGTTGGCTGGCTAAGAGAGGCCGAAAAAGCTTCTTTTCTGATGAAAAGGAGGAATGAAGATCTGACACTGATAAGATTCAGAAAAATGTAAGAAATAGAACAGGAGTATTTTATAATTTACTTTTCCACACAAAAGTGGTTCAGAATTACCTTTTCCAGAGGAGAACGGGACGCAAAGGACATCACTTCCTGATTGCTTATTGACAGTTGAAACAGTTGTTGTATATGGATGTTCAGTTTTGGAACCGACATTTTGTCAGGCATACAACCTGAAGTCTACTTAGGCTCCCTCAAGCATAACATGACACAGAATGGACCTAGAAGGCTTCCCACAATGGAGACAGGGAGACAGTCTAAGCTCCAAATAATGTGGTTTTAAAAAGAGAACACAAAAAATGAATACTTACAATGATCTCAACATCATGGGTAAAGCTATCTCATCAATATTGGTTTCTTCCAAAACCATCAAATAAAACTCAATTTTTCAAGGTAAATTAATAAATGGAGAATTTAGGCAAGGGAAACTCTTTCCATCAGGCAACAAGATATATTAACCTCACATGATGAAAGCAAACATATTGTACTAGGAGGCAGCACAATTATTATACTGCTTCAGGATGTCTAAAGCAGTGATTCTCAACCTTTTGTATCTGAAGTCCTATTAATCTCTATCAAAAATGTGAGTCACACCAAGACAAAAACAAAAAGCCTTTTTCTGAAGAAGATCTGTTTATAGACATTCAGTTGTTACATTTAGGGCCTTACATTTAAGTTTTAAGGACATAAGAAGTGTAATAGTATTGTTGAAAATAACACTGTAACTGTAAAATGATGAGTAAAAATTACCTAGAGCTGGAGCAGTGTTTGCCATGGTAGTGTAGAGGAATATGGAGATCACCTTGACCACCAGGCATGTAGGAGCTATTAAAAGAGGAAAAATGGCAATGGAGTCCTGGGGAAGGGGTGAGACCAAAACTCAAAATAACCCTGCCTTGATTCTGTTTGGTTTAAGTGGGGCAGAATGAAACTCTGGCAGTCCTTCAAGATTCTGTTATTATACCCTACAACAGTAAAGTAGCATTCCTGTAATCCTTGCACTAGCTGTTTCCTGACCTGGCCTACCTTGAAGGTCTGAGGAGCAAGAGCAGCCTTCCCTTAAGCTCAAACCTCAAAATAATACAAAGAATGAGAGCGAAATCTCCAAACCCAGATCCCTCAAAGACTGCTCCAGCTAGGACTCCAAAAAGCATAGGTTCCAAGCCAAGTCCTTTAAATGATTCAGTGCGATGCACTGGAACACCAACTGTATCACATCTACTCCAGCCAGGGTTTGTACATTTCTAGTTATTCCAGTTATGGTGGAACCTGACAGCCAAAGTTTCTCAGGGCAGAGATATCAGTTATGTCAATAACTAAAAGTCATCCAGTTTCAAGGTTGAATAATATAGGAAAAGTATTGACACCTTTGAACTGTGGTGTTGGAGAAGACTCTTGAAAATACCATGGACAGCCAAAAAAACAAACTGATGGATCATTGAACAAATCAACCCAGAGTTTTCACTCAAAGTACAAATGACCAGTCTCAAATTATCCTACTTTGGACACATGCAAAGACCTAGCCCTCTGAAAAAGGCTCTAATGCTGGGAAAAGTAGAAGGAAAGAGAAGAAGAATAGGACGACTAGCAGCAAGGTGGATGGACTGAATTACAGTGGCGATGAATGCACCATTGGAAAACCTGAAAGACCAGGTTAGGGACAGATCATCATGGAGAAAATCTATCTATGTGGTCTCTAAGGAGTCGAAAACTACTAGATGGCACATAATTAGGTCACAGTAACTGATGGCACCACCTCCCCCATGTAAACATTTGCATTTTTAGAATGATTCAGAAGGAGTGGGGATTGGCACCACTTAAACTTTGGCACCCTAGGCCAAGGCCTACTCAGCCTTAGCCTAAAGCCAGCCTTGTGTATGGGTACAGTATGTATAAAGAAAGAATTTCACCTTCCTATTGACAAAGGGCAATCAACTGTTATAACAATTTCCTCCTAGTATGCAATAAGGATTCTTATCTAGCTGCGCCAGGTCATGTGTCAGACAGCCTAGAGCCATACTAAGCTGAGTGCCCGGGCAATGTTGCTGAGGGCTTGCCAGTCAGTCTGGCAGTTATGCTGCAGAGATACCACAGATATTAGTCCCACTTGTAATTAACTGTGAAGTCGTTTCCACACAATATTTTTTCAGCAGATTTTATATCACAGCATTATGTGAAACAATCATTTGAGCAATGCTGCTTTGGCACTCTTAGAAGTCAAAATGGCTGCCAAATGAATTTGGCATAAAGGCAAGTTCTTTGAGGTAACTGTGCAGTTTATCACTTCAGCATTTGTTACAGATTACAGTCAATTATAGTTCACAATTGCTTAATGCCACCTTTGTGGCATATTTGAAAGACACAATCCATTCTCTCCAACTTATTTAAAATTTGCTGGACCGGAGTAACCTACAGTATGATATATTTTTAAATGACTTGCAAGCAGTGATAATGGCAAATAACATATATCCCCCAAACCTATGGAAATACTACTTAAAAGGCATATTAGTTTGGTGTAATATTTACATTTGGAGGGCTGGGCGGACAAAGTTCAAATAATAGAGAATCATTTATTGAAAATACAAGATCCTATGCAACGATAGCAAGATGTCCCATCAATAAAATATATAGATTGTGATGTAACTGTAGATAGAGGAGTCACCCCTCCTTTCAGACAGCAAATGTAAAGAATGGCAGCAGGGTTTTAAAGCTAGAGATGCATGAGCTGTTCAATCCAATTTAAAACAGGATTTGGAAATGTTAGGTAAAGGGGAAAAATTAAGACATAAAGAACATGGAATTTTCAGAAATTAGAAGCAGGGCTTTGAAATGTATACATCTTAGTTACAAACCATAACTTTCAAACATATCTATAGCTTGGTAACATCTGCCTCTATTTTGGTAATTGCAGAAGGCAGAGGAAACGGCCTTGAGGGACAGGAGCGACATTGTCGCTACCAAGGCAATGATAAAAGAGGTCTAAGTCCGGAGCCAGAATGTAGCATGAGTAAACGACTCAGACAGGCCCCTTTCTAGTTCTCACAAAATTAAAGGGGAGGAGGGGGGAAGCGCATTCTGTTACTACAGCTTTACAATAAAGTAGTACTGACCTACTTGCTCCCCTAGTCTGGTCTACCTTGAAGAGCTGACAGTAATGTGGAAAAAACATGATCCTAGAGCTTTATATAAAAGAGACTCCAAAAGTCCTTCAAAAACAGTGAATAATAAATATTTTAAATGGTATAAACTGGTACAGGCGTGGAGAAAGGGAAGAATTGTACCCCCTCTCTTTAAGTGATGTGACAGATATTATCAAGCAGGGACCCATGTCCTTAATCACATTCCCACAGTAATCATGGTAGTATTAAATAATTTTTCTAATATAAGAAACTCGTTTTTCAGTAAGAAAACATTTTTATCTGTTAAGAGTTTGAGGAAAATACAACATCTATAAGACAGATGGGTAAACAGTAGGGCAAACATATAGACTGTATACCAGAAGCATTCATTAACCAATGATTATATGAGAAACTCTCAAAGCTCATGCAGCTGCTATGTGTATGCGCATGTACACGTGTATGTGTAGATATAGTCATTCTCTTTCTTCCAAATTTTGAAATGAAAATGAAGCAGAAGTGCAGTCCTGTATCTGAATTGGAAAATTAATATGTATAATGGAATAAAGTTTGCTAAAACTTAAATTACTTTATCAGCTTCCTGGTAGTTTCCATCAACTCCTTCCAACAAGCTGACCTCTAAGCTGGTTGCCTTGCCCTTCTTGCCTTGAGAGCCAAAAAAGGTCTAACATTCTGTACCAGCTGGTGGAAGCTGAGAAAACGTTTACAATAGCCTGTAATAAGCAAGGGTTGATTATGTCCCATCAAAATTCATATTACTGTGCAAATATAGGAAATTTCTGGTAGAAACCTTATCTGTGTGATATTTGATTAACAAAAGAGAAGTCAAACAAACTGTGATTTGACTCTCGAAACCAAGGCTACGTCCTGAGTAGAAGGGAGGACTTTTTAAAAGGGTCTATTTTTAGGTGCAGAAATTATATGTTTACCTACTATATACTCTTGCCTCACTATTGACTGTCACTGGCATAAATCCTTCAGGATGAACGATCTGCATGCATCAGAACATTAACTTCGATGATCCCTCTGTGGAAGTCTAAGACCTCAGAAATCCTAGGTAAATAAATGCTATCTGTGAGTATCTAAGAAGCCTCTTATCAGATAATTTATGTGCAGCAAAGAATGACTGATAGTTTACATAAACTCTGTAAGACAAGAATAGGGACTCTGAGCGCAATCCAGACATAATTAAGTGCCATTGATTTCAAGGACAGTTACTCATAAACTTAACACTCCTCTTGATATCGGTGAGTTTTCAGAATGCTTAACCTGGCTGGATTTTATTATTTTACTATTTTATGTATTTATTACATTTAACAGAACATCCCTGTTATTATTATTTACCTTTTTTTACAAAAATTGACCTTACCTTTAAGGAGCACATGTCCACCTTTATAACTATCCTCAGGACATCCCTTTCAAGTAGGTCAGTCGGTTGGAGAAAAAAAAAGTTCCACATTATTATAGTATTAAACTTATTAAGACTGCCTAACTCCAGAAAGACTCCGGGCAGCTTACAAAATATCCAATGTGTAATTAAAACACAATTCAAAACATAAACGCCCAGACAACAACAATAACATTCAAAGAACATGACAGGAGTTCCAGAAGCATTCTAAACCCAGGACCAGGACCAAAGCCAGATCAAGGCTAACTGGGGATTTGCACCTGGGGATATCCAGTCCTAGTCCAGCACTAATCTGAATTCCACATTGATTTAGTGCAGTGTTTTTCAAGCTCAGCAACTTTAAGGTGTGTGGACTTCAACTCCCAGAATTCTCCATCCTGCATGGGGAATTCTGGGAGTTGAAGTCCACCCATCTTAAAGTTGCCGAGTTTGAGAAACACTGGTTTAGTGAATGGATTTCATATAAGAGCCAACATTTCCAAAGAACTTCAGGGGGCCATTTAGATGGGACACCGCCCCATCCTATACCTCAGATGCAATTACTTACAAATGCAGCCATGTAGTGTACTAGCTCAGGTGCTGGAGTAGGTGTAGGGAAGCCAGGTTCGACTCCAGGCTAGCCACAGAAGCTCACTGGATGACTTTGGGACAGTCACCATCTTCTTCAGCCTTGCCCACCTCACAGGATGGTTGTTTGGGAGGAAAATGAGAGGAGGGAATGTTATGTATACTACTCTATTCCTAAGCGAAAGGCGGGATATAAATCTTATAAATAAGTAACTGGGCCGCAATAAGTGAACTCAAATCATATATTGGACATTGTACTTCAGATCAAATTTCTGAAGTGTTGTACCTGTAATCTCACCCTAAGTGAGATTACAATCTAAGATTAGATTTTGAGCCCTTCATATACTTTCTATATGTTGCTTCAGGATTAGCTCCAAACTTGTTTGTTCCCTTGATGCCAGTTTGTTCCAGGGCTGAGTCATCATTTTTCTGATTCCATATTGGTTTATCTGAAACCAAGTCAAAGCTGGGTTTGTTTGGGTTTTTTTGGCAAAATGTGGGATTGTGGATGGTCTATTTTTTCTATTTGCTTTTCTTCTGCTTCACCAGGCCTTCTACTTCATGGATGCAAGCAAGGGTGTCTTGGTCCATAGTCAAGATGGCAGCTGTGACTGCCCAATCAAAGCCCCACCCCTATGTGACACACATAAAGAAGGGGCAGGACTTCACGTAGATGCCACCTTGAGCTTTGTTACACCTCCCTCCCCCCATAGATGCCCCCAGATGGATGCAACCTCACTATGCTACCAAAAAAATGCAGTTAACTGGTTCTTAAACCCAGTTAAAAAAAATAAATGCCTGGCTTGTTTTTCTCTGCTTAAACATCAGCAGCCTGCCCTGAATTCTTACTTCATCCCATTACTCAGACTCTGGCCTCGAGCAAGCTGTAACTTCTCCAGAACCATACTTGCCCACACACACACATACTCTATACGATAGCCTGCCATGCTATACATCCAGCATGATAGCTGCAGAGGCTTTTTAATAGACACAGGAAAAGGGCATCTTCATAGCACAGCAGCTTCCACATGTAAAATCTCTCCTCCTCCCCCTCTCCTGTTTCTTCCTTTGCAAATTGTTGAAAATGTACATCAGGTGCCTGAAAACATGGACGGAGGAGGACTAGCAAGCTTTTTCTTTTTTATGGAATTGGGGCAAAGGGATTTTTGTTACTGCAAGAGTTATGAAGGTGCAGAGGGCAATCCCTGTTTGATCCTCTGAGCGGTGTTTCTCAACCTTAATGACTTTAAGATGAGTGGACTTCAACTCCCAGAATTCCCTAGCCAGCATTGACAGCTAACTGACTCGCCATGTTTCGGCCAGCAGCTTCCACATGTAAAATCTCTCCTCCTCCCCTTCTCCTGTTTCTTCCTTTGAGAATTGTTGATAATGTACATCAGATGCGTGAAATCATGGACGGAGGAGGACTAGCACGCTTTCTTTTTCTTTTTTATGGAATTGGGGCAAAGGGATTTTTGTTACTGCAAGAGTTATGAAGGTGCAGAGGGCAATCCCGGTTTGATCCTCTGAGCGGTGTTTCTCAACCTTAATGACTTTAAGATGAGTGGACTTCAACTCCCAGAATTCCCTAGCCAGCATTGACAGCTAACTGACTCGCCATGTTTCGGCCTGATTTCAGGGTTTCAAGGCCAGGAGAGGAAAAAACAACCACAGGCCAGCTTGAAACTGGTTCGGGAGAGATTGGGAGGGTGAGAGGAAGAGAATATGTTGACTGTCTGGGAGTATCATATATCTCCTTCCCAACCAGGGTGTCATCTTTCTATTGTTATTTTACCAGTACAAGAACAGTTCAGTACAGTACAGGGGTATCCACAGTGAGGAAGTCAAAAAAAGTCAAGTTGGTGGCCAGAACCATGTGACTTTTTTAAAAGGACTGTAAGCCCTTTTCTTTTTTTACATGCAGGACTTCGATCGCATGGTTGTGGCCGCCATCTTGACTTTTATTACACACACACACACCCCCGCAGATACCCCTTACAGGATAAGAACAATTTGTCAGGTATTTCACATTTGATTATATAATCTGTATTGCCACCCAACTTAAGGTATTTCCAAATGTCAGCTGGGTCTAATAATGGCATTATTTTTGCAGGCAGCAACATGTGGAATTGTCCCAAGACGAATAAACAAATAATCCTCACACCAATTAATTTTGCCTCAGTGTGATACCCAGAGCAGGTCAAGGAAAACAACGTTCAGATGCTGCTCAGAATTAGCAGGTAAGTTTTCATAAAGCTGTAAAAGCCCTGCAGTAGGATGAGTGATCCATTCCTAGTGGTGTTTTTGATTGTTGGAACTATATTTGTATTGGTTATGCCTTCACCAATGCAATTCTGTGGTTGATTTTGCTGTTTTTTCCCCTTGTTGCTTTAACCCTATTACATAAACTGCCTAGACTTTCTTTAATGATTAAGGTGATGAACAAGAATGAGGTACCCCATAAATGGCTAACATTCATAAGGATGCTTATAGAAATAATAAAATATAGAAATTAAAAGCTTGAGGGCAAAAGTTAGAAAAGCAGTGCAAAAACTAAGCCAGCTGAAGCTAATCCCAAATGTATCATGGGATGAGGCAAAAGGCTACTAGACAGGAAACGTGAAATGGGAAGCTGTGGTTGGAATCAGTGCTAGTAGACAGCAGCTACTGTTGTAATATGGTAAATATAGATTAGCAGAGGTATTAGACCTGTTCGTGTAATCTTAAATATGTCAAATATTGCTGATCATTATAAAATATTGTATAAGAAATAGTAGAAACAGCAGTTAGAAATAGTCATCTAAGGGAAAGGTCAAACCGTGACCACAGTGAGTTAGGTTTGTGGTAAAAGAACTATAAAGGACCACAGAACAGCAAAGTGGTCACACAAGCTTTGAGAGAGATCTCCTTGTGTCCTTTTTTCTGCGCAGAATCAAGTTTGCTTCAATCTCCATTTCAGTGTGTTTCTTTGGGCGTTTAGCACAACGGGACCGAATCCAGATTTGGGCTGGGAAAACAAAGGCAATATACATCAAACAAACAAACAAACAACTTTTCTTCCAGCTCTGTAATAGCTCTCTTCCCTTGGTTAGGAACATATCAGCTCTATGTGTGATGCATTTTGCTCTAAAATAAATTGATTAAACTAAACAGCTGTACCATATGCTTCTGTAATTTGTTACCATGGGTTCTTTTATAGTATACAGTTCATCTATTGAATTTCATGGGTGGTCCATGAAATATCTTATACTTTTTACATTTGTATTCCACCCATGTTTTCCCCACTTATTCTTACATGCTTTTTTTAAAAACACATACATACAGGAGCATCCATGGGCGGAGTATCATTATCTGTAAGGTGGCAGGCATAGTGTTGGAATTGGAACCATGCCCCTTTTGTACACATTGCACCCTCCATCTTGCAGATTTTGATCCCCCATGGATGCTACTGCATACACACATACACACATTCACACACACGCACAAATCCACCAAGGAAAAATTGGTGGAACAACTGCAGTACCATATTTTAAGACTGGTAATGCCAGGAGTTTCCATCAGGAAGGCTCTTTGAGAAACAAACACACATAGATTAGTTAATGGACGAAGCGAATGAAAATACTTCTATTTCATTTGTGCCATTTCTTTTTCATATAATGGGAAGGATTCTTAGAAATGGCAAGAGGCATTGCATTCTTTAAGAAGAATGGACTTGAGATGCTTTCACGTATTACGTATGTTTGCATGTGTTCCATGAAGTGCAACCTATCTACAGAGGCCCGTATGCTGACATGTCCAATATCAAGGCTGGAGCCAGGATCATGGTCTCATTGTTAGTAACCAAATTCATGATAAGCTATGAAAACTCTCTAATCAGAAACTTGCAGCAATGGAGTGGGTTTAATTTCTTCATAATGCTTATAAAATATGGGTGTAAAATGTGGCAGGTCAGCTGACTTCAGGAAACAGTACAAAGCCTGAAAATCCAATGCATTTCTTAAAGAAAACAATGAAGTTCCATGTAGCAAATGCCTGAGAATTTAAATTTATATATATAGATTACCAAAAGAAAAACAAAATGAATATTATGACAATAAATGGGACATAAAACCAGTGGGACTGCCAAGAAAAGATACCAAAATATTTTCAGCTGTACTTTGCTTGTTCATGTTTCAACTTGCTACCATTTCATAGTTCTTCTCATTCTGGTTATTCTTTGTTTTAACTCCATGAATGAAAGTGTATAAGAACCATTTCTTGGGTTTTAATATATTCTGTCTTTTCCCAATACCAACACTTTAAAAACTTTGCAAATTATCAGGCACACCAGAAATTCTCTGCAGATAGATCAAAGGACTAGGGAAGAGGAATTCATGCTGAAGTCAAAGGGGATGGGCCCTTTTTGGGCCAGAGGGTACATCTGGATTTGGGAAAACATGTTGTGGATACTCTCACAAAATGGTTCCCATAGCAGGTATAGACAGTAAGAAAACACCAACTTCCTTGAAGCAAACTGTGAGGCTCTCTTTGTCACTTTCACTAACCTCCTTAATGGTTCTCCTTAGTCATTTTTCAAACTCAGCAACTTTATGATGGGTGGATTTCAACTCCCAGAATTCCCAAGCCACAACTGGGCAAGATCAAGGAATCAAGAACTACACAGCACTCACTAGGATATCTTTACTGCTCCTCTTGGGATAAACACAACATCTTCTTCAGTAGGATCACTTCAGTAGGAATTATCAGCCTTCATAATAAAGGCATCATGAGATTTCCTTCATTAAGGCAGAGTTTCTTTGAATGATTTCAAATGCTTCTTCCCAGATTTCTTGCTACCAACAGGGTGTCTCATAAATCATCAAGAGACGTTTGCATTATTAGACAAATTATGTCTAATTTGTATTCCTTTACTTTCCCAGCCTTACCACAACCTCTCACACCTTCCAAACATATCTTGATCTTTTTCCTGGACCAACATGCTTCCAAGCAAAGCACTGGACTTCAGTCATCCATCATTTCTATGAATGTCTATGGAGCCCATGTTAAAAAAAAAATGTGAGGGGCAAAGAGATTAGTGAGGAGTAATAGAGTTGAACATGAGCATACTGGTTTCCACAAGTACCATTTTATCCACTCTAAAATAAACCAAGAGAGCCAATTTGGTGTAGCGGTTAAGGTATCAGGTTAGAAACTGGGAGACAGTGAGTTCTAGTCCCACCTTAGTCACAAAGCTAGCTGGGTGGCCTTGGGCCAGTCGCTCTCTCTCAGCCTTAGGAAGCAGGCAATGGAAAACCATTTCTGAAAAAACTTGCCAGAAAAACTGCAGGGACTTGTTCAAGCAGTAGCCAGGAGTCAACAGTGACTCAATGGGACCAATAAATAAGTAAATACACAAACCAAAATCTATGCTGAGAAGAATAGATCTCAGAATAGAATCTTCCCCTTCCTTCCACAAGTAAAGCTCAAAATGTCTTGAATGGCAAACAGTGAATATGTTTGTGTTGTCCACTTTTGAAAAGGTCCCCAAAGATTAATAATAAAAGAGTTGGTGTCTGCAGTTTTATAGTCTATGAGTTTTCAGGAGGGTGGAGCCTCTCCCATCTTGAGCCTAATAAAAATCTATGATGAACAACAGAAAAACCTAATAAAAGTTGTATTTCTTTTAGACTTCTATGTGCAACAATTTATCTCAGAATAGTTTCACTCAAATATGATAAAATATATAGAAGTTACATTTCAATTAGAAACCATATTTTGGGTTATAAAACGGGAAATATATTTTTGGAATATTTTACTTTTCTCAATAGAGTTATTTTTTTAAAAAATAAGCAATTCCTAAATGAATATATAATTGTGCATCTGCTGTTTTTATCTACTAATGTGCTACAGCATTTGCACTAAAATATAGGACATTAGAAGATGTGACAGAAATGATGTAATGCTAAAGCATTTCATTACACATGCAGTCCAGCTCTTCTTCCCAGAAATGATTTATTATATTTTGTCAATCTGGTTCTTACGTACCCACATCATTTTTAACATCATTTTTCTTCTCGACATTTTTACATTTTTACAAAAGCACATGAAGATAGCATCATAATAACAGGCCAGGCAGTGAAGTTGGCAGTTTACAAATAATGTTACCAATATATAAATATGGTGTGGAAAGGAAATAAATGTTGGATCTATGAGAGACCAGCTATATGATTAGAAGCCCCCATGGCTTTCCTCCTACCCAGCTAGCTCATACTGTACATGTACCCTGCCAGCTATGGGGTATGAGGTAGAGCCATCTGGCTTTCGAGGCAGGGCAGAACCTCTGGTAATGGCCATGATCAAGGAAGAAAAGGCTGCTGGAAACCATGCTGGTAAGTGCTAGGTCCCAGGAGAAGAGACCAAAGAGGGCCCAAAATCCTGAAGAACTCCTTATCAGAGTTAGCTAGCAAGTCATCTCATGGCAGTAGAGAGGCAGGAGCAATCCCAGAAATTCAGCTAGCAGGTCAGCTAGGGAAGGACAATGCAGGATCTGGCAAAGAGATAAAAAAGGGCAGGGTTCCAATTGCATGGTTGGGGCTACCATCTTGACTTTTTTCACCCCCTCCCGGCAGACAGTCCTGGCAGGATCCAAGTCATGGCTCATCACAGTGGGGAGGAACTTGGCTGGGGGAATTAGCTAGCAGCAAGAGGAACCAGAGCAGAGACAGTCAGGAGTTGGCCAGAGACCTGCTGGAAGTGGTTAAACCCATCTGGAAGGAGCAGCACTCCAACTAAAGAAGGGCAAAAGCCCAGCCAGACAGCACAAACCTCCAGCTGAAGCAGGAAGAAACCCCGACTACGGATAACAAACCAGAGCAGCACTGAAAGCAGCAAATCACCCAGTTCAGGAGCAACAGAAGTACCCGCAATCAGGGCCAGAAACTATCCCAGCCAGGGGTAGTTAACCTCCCCAACACCAGCATAAATAATAATGAATACCACCCAATAAAAGAAAAAATGGAGTGATGGGGAAAGACAGACAGGTCACCAAAAACATCTGTGAATAAGGCAAGGTGTTTGTTTAGTGAAGATCTCTTCTAGAAGTACCCAATCTTTCAGAATCAGCACAAATAGGTGCATGCAACTGCCTAAATTATATGGATGGCTAAGGGTTTTATCAGATGGGCCAATCAAGAGGCAGGAAAAAATAGTACTAATAAAAAGCAGGAAGATAGCTGTTATAAACTCCACATGACAGCTATCA